GCACCAGAGGTCACTCCAGCGGAAGGCTCCTCTTACGCGGAGCCAGCTTGTCCCCCGCTTGCATGTCGGCGGCGGCCAGCGGCGGCAAGCGCCGACGACCGGCGGCGGCGGCGGCTCGGGCGTCGCGCAGCGGGGGGGAGACCACATGGGGGGAGAGAAGCGTGCACCCTCATGGCCCGGAGGGCCCTTCGGGACCCCTTCACTGGCACAGGAAGTGTCCCTTTTTCTTCACCCCCCCAGATGTCGAGTCGACAAGTCGGATCGGCGATCGACAGGAATCGGATCGGCGGAAATCGGCAGCCGAGTCGGGAGAGGATGAATCGGCGGAAATCGGCAGGCCAACAGGCCTCCACCGGGAAACCGAACCCGAAGCGGCATCCCAGGCCGAACCGAGTCGGGATCGGAGGTCACCGATACGACTCGAATATATATATATATATATATATATATGTGTGTAGCGACACATACGAACCGCCCTATCGGACTTAGGAGTTAACTCAGCCAAGTCTCCATCGGGCTTGGGGAAAGGTTCCCCTTCTTTGTATATATACATATATATAGATATATATATATATATATATGTGTGTGTATGTATATATGTCGATGTTTCTGTTTTTTTATTTCCCCCCCCCCCAAAAAAAAAGCAAGCCATGCACGACGCAGCGCCCGCGCGGCAGCGGGGCGCGGGGCCTCCGGCGAGGCGGCCAGGGCGCAGGCCGAGAGCCGCTGCCCCTGGCGGTGGAGCGCCAGCGCCTCGCGGCCGCGCCCGCGTCGGCGTCGGCACAGCCCCGCCGCCGCCGTCAGCGGCGCGCGGCCGGGCCGTGCGGCGTCGTCGTCGTTGCCGCCGTCGCCGCCGTCGTCGGCGGCGGCGGCGGCGGAGTCGTCGTGTTCGTGTTCGCGCTCGTCGTCGTCGTCGTCGTCGTCGTCGTCGCCGGCGCCGTGCGGCGTCGGCGCGCCCGGAGGTCTTTGGCAGCGCGTCGAGCGTTCAGCCTCGAATGCTCAGGCAGGCGCGGTCCACTACAGTCGGGCTCGATGAGAGAGGACACGCGAGAGGACACAGGACCCTTCCGATGGCCACGTTGCCACAGAAATGCAGGAACCATGGGTCGCAAGACTCAGGACAAAAGAGGTACCCTTGATCTGGCAGGGTCGACCTACTAATCCGGGCCGCCTGTACTCGCAAAAGCAGCCGCTCGCAAGTGGCCTGGTTCCGCCGCATCGATGCAGCCAGGAGCCACTGCATCGATGCAAGCAGGCTCCATTGGACGTTTGCGAGCAGGCACCTGTAGTGGAACGCGCTCTGTGATTGAATCGATCAGGGCCCCGATCGTTCAAGGTTGAATTCAATCGGGCCCAGTGGCGTTACCATGTCCATCAATGCTTCCGCGTCGCAGGATTCAACCTTGGACGCCTTCGACGGCGTCGCTTGCGCGCCAACGTCGCAAGAACCTACCATAGTCGTCGTCGGAGTCTTCATAGAAGCTCGCCATCGCCGTGCGTCCGTTTCACGTCATGCGCTTGTTTACCAGTCGGACGTAGGACAGGAGACCACGCTTCAAGAACACGAGACCATGCGCTGGCCAAATTGAACTACCTTCGAGGTCCGAGGATACCCTCCTCCAGGATGCACAAGGGCATCCAGCAGACACGACGAACATCGAGGCACCCTCCCCGAACCGACCACGATCTCATGGCTCGGTCCCACCGCACCTGTCGGGAGCGGCCAAGAGGGGGGTGTCCTAAAGGAGGGGGTGCAAATCATGACCGGCGGCATGTGCGCCGCTCAGCGGGGGGGCCAGGGAAGTAATGAAATAAGAAGAGGCGGCATGAAATCTGAGGAAATATCATGCCCCCCGCCATGATATCCACCCCCCCTAGTCATCACCCCCCTCTTTTCCGCCCCCGACCACCGCACCTGCTTACCGCGCCTGACTCCCCCGCTGCCCGTGCCCAGAGGACTCCTGGTTGGCCGCAGCGCTGCTCGTTCTGAGCAGAGCTCGAGGGCTCGGCCTCCAGAAGAGCTCCCTCGAGCCCTCTTTGCGGGCAATACTTCTGTCCATATCCACTGCAGTATCGAGTGTCGGGCTCCCTTCCCAAGAAACCCGAGGCGCACTGGCTACGGAAAAATTTGCCCCCTAGAGGCTCGATTTTTATCCATATCCAGTGCGCCTCGGCCTTGTGGCGCCGCTTCCAAAAAAGTCCAAGAGGCACTGGATACGGACATGAATCTTGCCCGCCCTCTTCCCAAACCTGTGCACGCCCGGTCGCTGCGCGCGGGACCGCGACGCCAAAAGTCATGCGCCCGGTTGCGTCGCAGGATGAGCCAGGATGCTGATCGGTGGCCCTCGCAGGGGAGCACGCGCACCCGTGCCAGCGATGCCAGGAAAGGGGGCGCCGTCGTGGTCGTCGGAGTCGCCGTCGTGGTCGACGGTGTCGTCGCCGCTGCGTCCGCCGGGATCGCCGTCGTGGCCGCCGTCGGCGCCGCCGCCGCCGTGGTCGGAGTGGTCGTCGGAGTCGAGGAGGTCGAAGTCGTCGAGGAGGAATCGTCGGTGTCGTCACTGCCAACGCGCTTGTCGTCGAAGCCGCCATCGAAGCCAACGCCGAAAACGTCGTCAGGAACGTCGTCGAAAACGTCGTCGACGTCGAAGTTGAAGATAATCGCCAGCACCGCCGTCGTCGCTGCCATTGACTCCATCGTCGTCCTCCACCAGGAGGCGCAGGCGGAAGGGGGAAAGGGGGCGAGGGCAAGCCGGGTGAGCTCGCGACACATCTGACATCCTACCCCTCCCATCCATCATTCCAATTGCAACAATAAGGAGAAGCTTTGTGGGCCCCGGAAACGGCAGGGCCGTTTTTTTCACCGTTTCCAGAAAAATGTCCATTGAAAATGGAAACGGCAAAAAAAACGGCGACCGGAAACGGCAAAAAAACAGTTCCAGGACTGGAACCGGAGCCGGAACTGGTCACAAAACGGCGACGGAACCGGTGAAAAAACGGCGAAACGAAACCGGCAAAAAAACGGCAAAACGGAACCCCGGTAAAAAAAACAGCCCTGTCGTTTCCAGGGCCAACTAAGCCCGCGCCCTCTCAATCTTCGCATCTGCGGGGGCCTGGGGTTGGACCGTACTTGTCAGGAGGAGAGGGAGCACACAGCCACAGTGAGTCGTCGATTCCCCCGAAAATATGGGAACATCTGGGCAGAGGAGAAGGGGGGACGGCGAAAATGCGGGGCGAAGCGGATCCAGAAGTGCGGCCCGCGCACTGGGGCCTGGGCGCCCGTTCTGCACGGCGGGAGCCTCCCGAGGTGTGGCCAGCGCCAGGGTGGGAGCACAGTTTTCGAGGCCGCGCCGATCGGACCACCACAATCACGTGGCGAGCACCAGCGATCATCATCTAGTCACGCGAGAGGCAGGACGCTGGCTCTCTGCCAGGGGAGAGAGGAAGGGATCACTTATGTTGAGCGAGTGTAGAGGGGCCTTCTCCTCCTCCTCCTCATCATCATCATCATCATCATCATCATCATCAGCATCATCATCATCATCATCATCATCATCATCATCATCATCATCATCATCATCATCAGCAGCAGCATCATCATCATCATCATCATCATCATCAGCATCAGCATCAGCATCAGCATCATCATCATCATCCTCGTCCTCATTCTCATCCTCATCATCATCAGCAGCAGCATCATCATCACCATAACCATCATCCCCCTCCTCCCCTTGCTCATCATGGTCCTCATCGTTGTGTTATGCCTCCTCTTGCTCATCCTCTTACTCATCCTCCTCTTCTTCATTATCAACAGCCTGACCTTTGCCCTCCTGAAACTTCATCCTCCTCATTGTTATCCCCATCCACCCCCATCAGCTGTTTCCTCCTCCTCATCCGCCTCCGCATTCGCCCGTCATCCTCATCATGATCCTCATCCTCACAATACTGCACCTGGCTACTGCGAACCAGCCCTGCTGCACCTGTTCCTGCTGCTGGGATGCTCCTGTTGTTCCTGCTGCTGCTGATCAGGGTCCCACCACCTCTTTCTCCCCCTCCTCCTCCTCCTCCTCCTTCTCCTCCTCCCCCTCCTCCTCCTGTTTCCTCCTCCTCCTCCATCCCTCTCCTCGACGAAGACGACGAAAAAGACCCGATCGACGGCGACAACGACGACGGCGGCGGCGGCGACGACGGCGACAGCGACGGAACGGTGACGGCGACAGCGACGGCGACGGCGACGGCGGTGGCCACAACTGCGGCGAGTGGCAGCCAGCAAACACGGGAGCCGCCGAGCCCGGCGCGCGGCAGGAGGTCGCGCCGCCCTCACCGCAGAGCATGGCGACGTCGCCCAGGGACTCGCCCTGCCAAGGGGGAGGGGGGGGGAGGGATCGGATCGGCCAGGCAGGAGGAAACGTCGAGCCCCGCAGCGGCGTCTGGCCCCCCCCGGTTGTCCGGGAGGCCACACGTGGGGAGCCTCAGATTCACCAGGCAGTGGTGGCAGTGCTCGTGTACCGCACTGCCCGGCGGACGAGGCCCACCCGGGCCCAGACCATCCACCCTGGCCAAAGGGACTCTGGCCAAACCATCCACCCAGGCCCAAACCATCCACCCTGGCCCAAACCATCCACCCTGGCCCAAACCATCCACCCAGGCCCAAACCATCAACCCGGGCCCAAACCATCCACCCTGGATTGGAGCCCCCCGAGAAAACGAGGAAGTCCCGTCCCCCACCGCTCCCACAGGCCCAGCAACCCGTCCCGTCAGTGGGGTGCCCCACGAGATCGCCTCGGCGCTGCTGGCTGCAGCGGGTGCCGAGAGAGAGCCGGGCGAGGAGCCGAGGGCCCTCGATCGAGGACCCGCTGCCAGCATTTAAAGGGGGGGGATGCTGCATTGGCGTTGCGATCCGCACGGGCGACCTGGATGAGGGTGTCGAGGGGGAGTTCGTGTGAGGGCCCTCGAAAAAGAGACCCTCTACAGCAAACATTCATGAGAACGTGCATGGTTGTCTTCTTTTTGCTGCGCTTCCTCGCACGAGGCGTTCTGCGCAGTTCAGAGCGCGGTGCAAATCTTGAAACAAAAATTCGAATCGCGACAGCAGTCTAGCTCGCCTTCGTGCATCAAAGCAACGGAGCCATCCGTGGTCTGGGCTGTCGTGCCGCATTGGCCATGCTGGTGCCATCAGCGGCAGAGCGGCTGCACGGATCCATCTCACCGGCCTCAGCCCACCTGCTCAGCCTCGGGTCCATCCCCGCTACCGCCACCCTTGATCTCGCCCAGCATCTTGCGGATGGCGATCAGCAAACGATGCCGCAAGAGCCAACCATGCAAGGGACCTCGTCGTCGCACGGGATGGCGGCCACCCCTGCCAGGCAGCTCGTCTGGCCCTGCGACTTGATACACACAGTGGGCGAGACGCAGCGGATCGCGCAGCACACGCAGAAGAGCGTCGGCGCGCTTGACTTGCAGCAGTACTCAACCTCCAGGCAGCACAACGTCTCGCTCGCTATGCACCCCATGCACCCATCCCCGAAGAACAGGCCTTCGTGGCAGCAGCAACACACGTCACAAACCATGATCGAGTTGTTGTCGAGCGCGTCGCCGTCGCCGCCCCTCGCCCATTGCTCCGAACAACCACTGTTAACCCTTGCCAGCGCTGGAATGCGCCGAGTCGAGGAGGCTTGAGACGAATAATAATAGCCATGTTTGAGAACATACGATATGTAGCCAACAAATTCCACATCATGTTTGCCTGCCTTCTTGACGCCAACTAGAGAGGAGTTCATACAGGTAGATGACAGACAACTTGACGAACATCCATGAAAATGGCCTCTCCAGGCTTTCGTGGGGGTCCTTGTGGGGCTCGTCTGGGCCGTCTTAGGGACCTCGTGGGTCGTCCCGTGGCCCTCTTTGGCCGTCTTGGGGGGCTTGAGACGTCTTGGGGCCCCCTTGGGACTCTCTCGGGAATCTCTTGGGGCCCTTAAGGGCCTCTCTTGGGCCGTCGTGGGGCCGTCGTGGGGCAGTCTTGGAGCCCTCTTGGGGCCGTCTTGGGGTTGGCTTGGGGCCGTCCTCGGGGCCTCTTGTGCCGTCTCAGGGGGATCCTGAAGGCCTCTTAGGCCGCCGTGGACGTTGTGAAGACCAACGTAACAGAGACGTTAGAACAGTAAGTTCCCCGAGGGAATGGGACGATGTGTGCCTCTTGGGCGTCCTTTTGGCGGCCTCGTGGAACGTTCTGAGAGGCTGCTCGGCTGTCTTGAGGCCATCCTGGGCCCTCTTTGAGCGCTCTCGGGCTGTCTTGGGGCCATCTGGGGCCTGCCTGAGGCCGTCGTGGCAATGATTTGGGCGTTCTCGGGGCTGTCTTCTGTTTTTTCGGGGGGATGATCAGCTTCTGGAGCGGGCAAGCGGTGCTAACGAAGCGCTACCGCGGCGCCGGCCTGTAGCCAAGCGCGGGTCCAAAGAGGCGTCTCGACGCACCGAGTCCACTGCAAGATGCTTACCGTGGGATCCCAAGCTGGATTTCGCGTGAAGCCGCTCCGCAGTATTGAAATGAGGGCCCAGCGCGAGAGCAACACCTCCTGAATTCGTTCGTTCAGTCCTAACTTAAACAGTTGGTCTACTCCGTGGCGATGAGAAAAACCAGGACAAAGGCCAAGCCATCGAACGAAATGGATTAAAAAGAGCCAGCATGAGGGCCAACTTTCACGCCGCTCAATTAAAAAGACTCACGCCGTTTCCCGATCATCCTCAGAACGAGTCAGCGCAAACGTGCACTTGGTACCGCAGCTCTTGGATACGACGCAGGCTGTGCAAACATTTACCCACGCAGCTGAACGGGGCAACACACGCACACACACACACACACACACACACACACACACACGCAGACACACACAGTGTAAAAGAACAATATCGAGTAGGCACACGTGTCGAACGAGGCAGACGGGTAATTCAAGCATGGGGCTTACTTTGGGAATGACCAGCTTCTGGGGCGGGCAAACGATGCTGGAGCACGCTTCTTTATGTTCGGCGATGGCGGGCGTCGTGGGGGGGGGGCGGGGGGGCTATGACGTAACGCCCCCCCCCCGCCCCCCCGCCGTGTGGGTCCGGCACCACAGCGGCGCCCGCGCGCACGACGACGATGAGCGACGAGCTACGAGCGACGAACGACCAGCGACAACGAGAACGACGACGACGACGACGACGCGAGCAACATGTAGGTGGCGATCTGCCCCACAACGCCCGTGTACACCACAATGCTCGCGTGCACCACAGCGCGCCTGTACACAACACCGCCTGCGTACACCGCAACAGCCGTGTGCAACGCAGCGCCTGCGCGCACCACAATACTCGCGTGCCCCAAACCGCGGGTGTACACCACAGCGAGTGTGTACAACGCAACACCATGTGCCACCCATCGCCTGTGTACACCACAATGTTCGCGTACACCGCAACGCCTGTGCACACCACTGCGCCTGTCTACACCACAGCATACACGTGCAACGCAGCGCCTGTGTACACCACAACGCCTGCGTGCGCAGGACAGGTCGAAGGCGCATGTAGTTGACGATCTAATGCGGACAGCTAAACGCCACGCCAAGCAAGTACGGATACTGGAATGTGACGTTATTCCCTCCTCCTTCCTGCTCCACCTCCACCTCCTCCACCTCCTCCTCCTCCTCCTTCCCCTCTTCCTCCTCCCCCTTCCTCACCCTTCCTCACCCTTCCCCCTTGTCGTACGGGTCGGCACATCCACTTGATTCTCGGACGGCCAATTATGTTGGAGCCTCCTGGACGCAGATGGGAGGAGTTAGGATAATGCGGACGGACATAAGGATTCCTTTCCACATCCTATATAACATACTTGTTTCCTGTCGAATCCACAGGCGCTTCGCCTTGTCATAAAGATTCCTTCGCGCATTCTATATGCAACAGTGGTGCTCCGTTGCACACGAATGCTGTGGTGCACACAAGCGCCGTGGTGTATGCAGGCGCTGTAGTGCACGCGGGCGTTGAATACACTGGTGCTGTGTCGTACACACACGGCTGATGCGGTGTACGCAGGCGAATTGGTGTACACAATCGCAGTGGTACCCGAACGCACTGTGGCACACACTGGCGCTGTGTAGCATGCGGCTGCTGTGGTATACATAAGCGGTGTGGTGTACACAGGCGCTGTGGTGCACGCAAGCACTGTGGTGTACAAAGGCACTGTGGCACAGATCGCCACCTACATGCTGCTACGACCCGTCCTCGGTCATTCCTAGGCATTGCCAGATTCTGCCGGCGCAAAACGTGACATTATCGGCCCCTTCCACCCCCTCCCACATGATTGCCGTCACTGGCCCGGAACATGCCGCGTCCGCGCGCACGACGACGACGAGCGACGAGCGGCGACGAGCGACGAGCGACAACGACAACGACAACGACGACAACGACGACGACGACGACGACGACGACGACGACGACTGCGGACCAGACTCCTATGTGGATTCCTATGCGGACACCTATGCGGATCCCGATGCACACGGCGGCAGAGCCCGGAACGCACTGGGAAAGGGGGAGCGTTACGTCATGGGGGGCACGGGGGCTATGACGCCCGTCATGCCCCAAGGAATAAAGGCCGTCGTGGCAGTAGTTTGGGCGTTCTTGTGGCTGTCTTTTGTTTTTTGGGGGGTGACCAGCTTGTGGGGCGGGCAAACGGTGCTAACGAAGAACTACCGCGGAGCCGGCCTGTAGCCAAGCGCGGGTCCAAAGAGTCGTCTCGACGCACCGAGTCCACTGCAGGATGCTTGCCGTCGGCCCGCAAGCTTTTACAAAAAATCGGCCCAAGCCGCTCCGCGGAACTGAAGAGAGAGCAAATATTAATCAGCTCGAGAGCAAAGCCACCCTCATTCATTGGCAAGTTTAAACAGCTAGTCTGCTCCGCAAACCCAGCACGAGGGACAACCTGCAGACAAAACTGATTCACGCCGCTCCACGGCAAATCCGCCAACCCTGTCGGCGCGTAGTCGGCGTGTGCCAGACGCTGTTCCGTTCGCCATCGCCGCCGTCGCCATTGCCCCGGGCCCCATCGAGCGTGCCTGCCAGAGGGAAATCAAACAGCAGTCTTGCATCGAAGAAAGACCCTTCCCTCTGATCCCTTCCCCGCCTGGGGGGGGAGTCCCAGGGGCGGCCCAACGCAACTCCCGGGTCCGAATGCCGCCCCCCTGGCGGCTCTGGCCCCGAACAACAGCACCAAAAAAAACAAGGAATCAGCGAACCCCCCGCTGATCATCCCCCTCCTCCTCCTCCTCCTCCTCCTCCTCCTCCTCCTCCTCCTCCTTCTCCTCCTCCTCCTCCTCCTGCTCCTCCTCCTCCTCCTCCTCTTCCTCCCCCTCCTCCTCCTCCTCCTGACGAGAGGCTGGGGGCGTGGGCCCTCCCCCCCGCCACTCTGCCCCCTCCTCCTCGTCCTCGGCCTCGTCGTCCACGTCGTGCCCGTCCAGGGGCGGCGGCGCCGGCCAGAAGGCCTTCGCAGTAAACACTCCTGGCGAACCCAGAAATTGCAAGCGAGGGTTAGGCAAAGGCGTTGGTTGAGGTGCACAAGTGCTGCGCTGGCATGCGTAAGCTATACAGCATTAATCCAGGCACGCTGCTTGAGACGCTGCCACCACAGCACCGAACAGGTCTGCCAACGCTGCGCCACGGCAGGCTGCATCCCACAATGCTGCCTATAACCACTTGCGCCTCGAGCTTCGGGGCCCGTCGCCGCTGCAGAGTCGACGCCGCCGTCGCTGCCGACCACCTGCCACCGCGGCGGCGCGCGGCAGTGCGGCAGCTCCCTCCGTTGGGCGAATGACACTGCGAACCCTACCCCTACCCCCTACGACTTCTGAGGGGGAGGGTGGGGTTCACTTCGCTCGGGAGCTCCCGAGTGGAGTGACCCCCAACCTCCCCCTCAGAAATCGTGGGGGGTAGGGGTAGGGTTCGCATGTGGCCCCCTGGTAATAGCCGCCGCAGCTGGTGCCGTCGCCCAGGACGGCCGAGCTGGGCACTCCCCCGAGGCATCGACTCGGGGGGCGTGGCCGCAGCTGCAGGCTCCGCGAAGGGCCGCCGCGCGGCCGCCGCCAGAGCGGTGCAGCAGCCGCCACGGGAGCGGCCGCCGCCCAGCACGGTCGCACGGGGCAACCCCGCGGGCACGGGCGCCAGTGGCGTGGCCGCAGGCGCCGCGGGGGCTGGCACGCGGTGGCCTGCGCGGCCGCCGGAGCGCAAAGGCCGCCGCAGCGGCAGTGGCGGCCGCAGGAAGGGTCGTCGCCCAACGCGGCCGAGCCAGGCGAGACCCCGGGTATACGGAGGCGGCGCGGGCGCAGGCTTCGCGGGGTCCGGAGCGCGACCGCCACCAGAGCGGCAGTGGCCGCCACAGGAGCGGTCGTCGCCCAACACGGCGGAGCTCGGCACCAGCTGGTGGGGCTTGTGGCAGGTGGCAAGGAGCGGTCGCCCTCGCTGGCAGTGGTGGACCCTGGGCTTTACCTGTCGAACCACGTTCCTCATCGCCTCGGGCTATCTGACAGTGCCTCGCCCCCACCCCCTCGTCCTGCCAATCCCTCGCTTCTCCCCCAGCAATTCAAACATGCTGAGCACCAGCTACGCGTGTCAGACGGGCGGGTGCCGTCCGGAAAACAGAATACATACTCGGAGTGCTCGCAAGCTCAGTCGTGCAAGCTGGCAAGATGGCAACAAGGGCTTAGCTGACATCGCCGAATGAAGGTCGCTCAGAGTCCGCAATTCGACTAATGCAGCGTAGATCTCGTCGGCACACAGCACAGGACTGTGCATTCCACCTGCACATTGAAGAGAGCAGCCAACTCTGTAAGCATTCCTCATGGAACGAATGGTTGCAAGGAGTGGTTTTGACGCTGTCCCCAGGCTCCAAGTCGCACAAGCATATTGAGCAAGCAACGGGATTCCCAGACTCTAAGTTGCCGTCCGCGCCTTCATCCGACCACGTGGAGGCGGTGAGACCACCCAAGACCTTGGCCACCTCCGCCTTGACCACCTCCGGATCGTCCTCTCCCGTCTTGGTCACCTCTTGGGGCCCCATATGAATGTTCAAGCCGATGGGGATGAAAATGCAGCACCAGGCCATCTCAGGGATTGCACAGAACCCTTGGAAGAACATCACCGTGGCCGACCTCGCTACCGACAGCATGACCGCGACAACAATCAACCCACGAATCAAGCCTTGCAGGCGCCAGCGTTGGCTCGCATGTCCCGCGATCCCGAACGAGACGGCACCGAGAAGCGCGACCATCACCCAGTCCGCTAACACAGCCAAATAATGGCGCGGGCAGAGCAGACCTGTCGTTTCAAGCCAGGGCTTGAACCCAAAGATGTAGATGTAGATCGCGGCATTGAAGCTGACACCGACTGCTACCCAAACCCTGGAGGCATCCCGCACGGTGGGAGTGCCGACGACGCCACCGACGCCTCCTGGGCCTGCGCCTGTCACGCCAGCCTCGTTGGCCATGCGTATCCTGGGCCCACTCGCGCGAGGAGCGATAGGCTGGCAGGTAAGTTAAACCAGAAACGCTTGGGCCAAAATGGCTACGGAAGCGCTCTTGGGGCTGTCTTGGGCCGGCAACGGGGCCCTCGGAGGCGCTCCTGGGGCTGGCTTGGGCCGTCTATGGCCGAAGATGACCGGAAGTTGTGCCATTAGACCTGGGCCGGCACGGAAACGGAAAGAGCGCTTCAAGAAAGAAACGGAAACGGAAACGAAAACGGAAACGAAACGGAAACGGAAACGAAACGGAAACGGAAAGAGCACTTGACCGAACTTACTCACACCACCATTCGTACTGGGAGCCGTGGCGTTGAGAGCTTGTTACGTCACCCCGCGCTCCTGGGAGCCTTGGGGTTCAGAGATTGCTGCGTTGCCGCCCGTTCCTGAGCCTTGGCTGGGCCTTGGCGTCAGGAACTTGTTACGTCACCGCTCCCTGCCGGGAGCCTTGTTCTTATCAGCTTGTTTACGTCACCATTCGCTATTTGGAGCCTTGGTGTACAGGGCATTTTGCGTTACCGATCGCTCTTTATTTGGCTCCTCTGAGCCTTCTTGGGAGTCCTGTTGCGGCCCATTTTGAGCCCCTTTGCCTTGGTGTAAAGAGCATTTTGCGTTACCGATCGCTCTTTATTTGGCTTCTCTGAGCCTTCTTGGGAGTCCTATTGCGGCCCTTTTTGAGCCCCTTTGGGGGCCTCTTGGGGCTTCTTGGGGGTCTGTGGGGGCCTCCTGAGAGCGTCTTGGGGCGAAAGGCTAGACTGTCGGGTTCGTGGTCCCCCCTCTGGGGCCGTCCTGGGGTCCTCTTGGGCCGTCTTGGGCGCCCCTTGGACAGTCTTGGCGCCCTCTTGGGCCGTTTGGGGGGCCTCTGGGGAGCCTCTGGGGCCGTCTTGGGGCGGTCTTGGGGGCCTATTGGGCCGTCTTCAACGCCGTGGAAGCCGAAAAGCCGTGCATGCTAAAAATGTACGTTTTCCTATAGGAAATCAATGATGTTCGCCTCCTGATGCCCTCGTCGGACGCCTCTTGGGGGCCTATTGGGGGCTGTGGGGGCCTCCCGGGAGCGTCTTGGGGCGATAGGCTAGACTTTGCGGTTCGTGGTCCCCCTCTTGGGGCCGTCTTGGGGCCCTCTTGGGCAGTCTTGGGCGCCTCTTGGGCCGCCTGGGGGCCCTCTTGGGCCGTTTTGGGGGCCTCTTGGGAGCCTCTTGGGCCGTCTTGGGGCGGTATTTGGGGCCTCCTGGGCCGTCGTCAACGCCGTGAAAAGCGAAAAGCCGTGCATGCTAAAAATATACGCTTGCCTCGGGAACATCGATAATGTTGGCCTTTTGGGGCCCTCTTGGGGCGCCCCTTGGGCGCCTCTTGGGGGCCTCTTGGGCCGTCTTGGGCGGTCTTGGGCTCTCTTGGAGCGCTCTTCGGCCGTCTGGAGGGAGAATCCCCAAAACATACAAAAACCCTAGGGAAAACTGCAAAATTGAACCATTAGACCCCCCCCCTTCGCCTCGCCCCCCCCCCCCTGCACCCCCCCTAAGACGGGCTTCGCCCCAACTCAAACGTCACTCGCTCGTACCTCGCTCTTTCCGTCACCTGGGCCCGGCACAGAAACGGACAGAGCGCTTCAGAAACAGAAACCGAAATTACTCACACCACCGTTCGTACCGGGAGCCTTGGCGTTGAGAGCTGGTTACGTCACCCCTCGCTCTTGGGAGCCTTGGGGTTCAGAGATTGTTGCGTTGCCGCCCGTTCCTGAGCCTTGGCTGGGCCTTGGTATCAGGAACTTGTTACGTCACCGCTCTCTGCTGGGAGCCTGGGTCTTATCAGCTTGTTTACGTCACCGTTCGCTCTCGGGAGACTTGGTGTGAAGAGCTTTTTGCATTACCGATCGCTCTTGGCGTCTCTGGGCCTTCGTGGGAGTCCTATTGGGGCCCTTTTCGGGCCCCCCTGGTGGCCTCTTGGGGGCTTCTTGGGGGCCTCTTGGGGCTTCTTGGGGGTCTGTGGGGGCCTCCCGGGAGCGTCTTGGGGCGGTAGGCTCGACTTTTGGGTTCGTAGTAGTCCCCCTCTCGGGGCCGTCTTAGGGCCCTCTTGGGCCGTCTTGGGCGCCTCTTGGGCCGTCTGGGGGGCCCTCTTGGGCCGTTGTGGGGGCCTCTTGGGAGCCTCTTGGGCGCCTCTTCGGCCGTCGTCAACGCCGTGAAAGCCGAAAAGCCGTATATGCTAAAAATACACGTTTTCCTATTGAAAATCTTTGATGTTGGCCTCCTGTTGGCCTCGTGGGACGCCTCTTGGGGGCCTCTTGGGGCTTCTTGGGGCTGTGGGGACCTCCCGGGAGCGTCTTGGGACGATAGGCTAGACTTTTTGGTTCGTGGTCCCCCCCTCGGGGCCGTCTTGGGGCCCTCTTGGGCCGTCTTGGGCGCCTCTTGGGCCGTCTGGGACCCTCTTGGGCCGTTTGGGGGGCCTCTTGGGAGCCTCTTGGGTCGTCTTGGGGCGGTCTTGGGGGCCTCTTCGGCCGTCGTCAACGCCGTGAATGGCGAAAAGCCGTATATGCTAAAAATATACGTTTTCCCATTGAAAAATTAATGAGTTTGGCCTCTTCGGGCCCTCTAGGGACGCCCCTTGGGCGCCTCGTGGGGGCCTCTCGGGGGCCTCTTCGGCCGTCTTGGGCCGTCTTGGGCTCTTCTGGGACGGAAAAGAGAAATCCGAAAAACATGCAAAAGTCCACGGGAAAACCCCCAAAACGGCCATTAACACCCGTTCGTTCGCGGTACGCACCCCCCTGGAACCTCCCTTAAGGGGCTTCGCCCAACACACAACGTCATCGCTCATACCTCGCTCTTTCCGTTACCTGGGCCCTGCACAGAAACGGAAAGAGCGCTGCAGCAACAGAAACCAAATTTACTCGCACCACCGTTCGTACCGGGAGCCTTGGCGTTGAGAGCTGGTTACGTCACCCCTCGCTCTTGGGAGCCTTGGTGTTCAGAGATTGTTGCGTTGCCGCCCGTTCCTGAGCCTTGGCTGGGCCTTGGTGTCAGGAACTTGTTACGTCACCGCTCTCTGCTGGGAGCCTGGGTCTTATCAGCTTGTTTACGTCACCGTTCGCTCTTGGGAGCCTTGGTGTGAAGAACTTTGTGCATTACCGATCGCTCTTGGCGTCTCTGGGCCTTCGTGGGAGTCCTATTGGGGCTCTTTTCGGGCCCTCCTGGTTGCCTCTTGGGGCTTCTTGGGGGTCTGTGGGGGCCTCCTGGGAGCGTCTTGGGGCGAAAGGCTAGACTTTCGGGTTCGTGGTCCCACTCTTGGGGCCGTCTTGGGGCCCTCGTGGGCCATCTTGGGCGCCTCTTGGGCCGTCTTGGCGCCCTCTTGGGCCGTTTGGGGGGCCTCTGGGGAGCCTCTTGGGCCGTCTTGGGGCGGTCTTGGGGGCCTCTTGGGCCGTCTTCAACGCCGTGAAAGCCGAAAAGCCGTGTATGCTAAAAACGTACGTGTTCCTATGGAAGATCAATAATGTTGGCCTCTTGGGGGCCTCTTGGGGCGCCTCGCGGGGGCCTCCTGATGGCCTCGTGGGACGCCTCTTTGGGGCCTCTTGGGGGGCTGTAGGGGCCTCCCGGGAGCGTCTTGGGGCGGTAGGCTCGACTTTTCGGTTCGTGGTCCCCCTCTTGGGGCCGTCTTGGGTCCCTCTTGGGCCGTCTGGGGCGCCTCTTGGGCCGTCTGGGGGCCCTCTTGGGCCGTTTTGGGGGCCTCTTGGGAGCCTCTTGGGCCGTCTTGGAGCGGTCTTGGGGGCCCTTTGGGCCGTCGTCAACGCCATGAAAGACGAAAAGCCGCATATGCTAAAAATATACGTTTCCCTTCGGAAAACCAATGATTTTGGCCTCTTGGGGCCCTCTTGGGACGCCCCTTGGGCGCCTCTTGGGGGCCTCGTGGGGGCCTCTTCGGCCGTCTTGGGCTGTCTTGGGCTCTCTTGGAGCGCTCTTGGGCCGTCTTCAAGGAGAATCAGAAAAACATGCAAAAACCCAAAGGGAAAAACCAAAACGGCCATTAGAACTCATTGTCCCGCGCTACGCCCCCCCCCTGGGAACCCCCCTTAAAAGGCTTCGCCCAACAAACAACGTTATCGCTCGTACCTCGCTCTTTCCGTTACCTGGCCCGGCACAGAAACGGAAAGAGCGCGTCAGAAACAGACACCGAAATTACTCACACCACCATTCGTACTGGAAGCCTTGGCGTTGAGAGCTTGTTACGTCACCCCTCGCTCTTGGGAACCTTGGTGTTCAGAGATTGTTGCGTTGCCGCCCGCTCCTGAGCCTTGGCTGGGCCTTGGTGTCAGGAACTTGTTACGTCACCGCTCTCTGCTGGGAGCCTTGGTCTTATCAGCTTGTTTACGTCACCGTTCGCTCTTGGGAGCCTTGGTGTGAAGAACTTTGTGCATTACCGATCGCTCTTGGCGTCTCTGGGCCTTCTTGGGAGTCCTATTGGGGCCCTTTTCGGGCCCTTTTGGAGGCCTCTTGGGGACCTCTTGGGGGCCTCTTGGGGCTTCTTGGGGGGCTCGTGGGGCCTCCTGGGAGCTTCTTGGGGCGAAAGGCCAGACTTTTCGGTTCGTGGTCCCCCTCTTGGGGCCGTCTTGGGGCCCTCTCGGGCCGTCTTGGGCGCCTCTTGGGCCGTCTTGGGGCCCTCTTGGGCCGTTTGGGGGGCCTCTGGGGAGCCTCTTGGGCCGTCTTGGGGCGGTCTTGGGGGCCTCTTGGAGCGTCTTCAACGCAGTGAAAGCCGAAAAGCCGTATATGCTAAAAATGTACATATTCCCATAGGAAATAAATGACTGTGGCCTCCTGGTGGCCTCTTGCGACGCCTCTTGGGGGCCTCTTGGGGCTTCTTGAGGGCTCTTAGGGCCTCCTAGGAGCATCTTGGGGCGAAAGGCTACACTTTTCGATTCGCGGTCCCCCTCTTGGGGCCGTCTTGGGGCCCTCCTGGGCCGTCTTGGGCGCCTCTTGGCCCGTCTT